ATTGATGGCATAAAAGCCATCAAAGTTAAGGCAAATGTACAATCTTGCTACTGCAAAATGTCATCAGCAAGCATTATATAAACACTATAAAGCATAACAATTTCTTAGTACATATAAATTCATGTTAATTTAGTAATAAATATTAGTAACAGTCTTATACCTGTTTCATTCATAATGAACAACATTATAATTCATGTTTTGCCAGATTTATTACCACTGAAATAATATTTGCATGCTTTTGCCTTTACATGTTACTCATTAGTGTTAGATGTGTCTGCAATACCAACCCTAAAGTGTTACCTTTACTGTCTATATCATAGTGTTGCTGTTTTTATTCCAGTATGTTTCATGTTGTGAAATTCTTGGCAACGCAATCTGTGGCAGTTGTACCTTCAGAATGGTACAGTGCTGGAGAGACTATGTGGCCTAACTATAAAAGTGACAAAAGGATTGACAAAGCAATTCAGCAAAGGGAAAGGCCGGGCGAGGACTGGGACCAGCATGACTGCACGGTTTTAAAGTCATGTGGTATGTTCAGCTCTGAAATGTCAGATTGTATGTTGAAAATCCTAAAATTAAAATTAACCTTTTTTTTACTTAAGAATGATTGACAACGTTAACAAACTTACTACTACTGTTACTATTTTATTAGTGGTGTTAACACATTGATTTGTTTGCCATTGTGAAAATTTGTGTTTCAGACAACTACTTGCAGGCACGCCAAGCAATGAAAAAATCTTTAACCTGCAGCACATCAGACATGCAGTCCGAACAGGATGATGAAGAAGACTCAAGACCTCGGAGAAAACCCAAACCTGTGTTAGTATTACTGCTTCAAAATTGATTGATTTCTGCATTTGTATTTTGTGAAACTTTAGTTACTGCTAAATAATATAACTAATGAATAAGTGATTTATAAATAGTAATAAGCCTTAAACATCTGGGTTAGGGTTAGGTTACGTAATTAGGTACAAAAATGAATAGCAGAATACTGAATTTTTTGATAATGTTTACTAATGATTTTTTGCAGTATCTAAAGTGTTTCCCTGTATTCTTAATTAAAATGTGGCTTACATTTGTGTGTTTTCTGCTTTCAGCCACTATTTAGGAGATTCTGACTTTGATAGTGATGATACACTCTAAAAACTGATGGGTTAAAAACAACACAACATGGGTCATTTCCCAACCCAGTGCTGGGTTAAATATGGACTAACCCAGCTTTGGTTGTTTCAATCCAGCAAGGTTGGGTTAAGGGCTTAACCCAACGTGCTGGGTTGCATTTTAAGCCCAAGTTTTGGGTTAAAATTACCAAATCTCTTGGTCAAAATCACCTCAACACTGGGTTGAAAATGAAATCTATAAGTCTTAATTGTAGACTATACATTATAACTTTATGCTGAAAATCAATTTAAGGCTCTTAAATGCACCCAGCCACCCACCAACCGAAAGTAAAACAATGTAATACACAAAAAGATTCAATACTTTCATTTCTTAACAATGGATTTTTTTCACTTTTAAGATTGTAAAAG